GAGCTTGAAAAGGTCGCGTCCGTGTTTGTCGTTTGCCCAGGCTTGGGCCCATTCCGCTTTCATTGCTTGTCGAATATTGGTCCTTGTGGTGGCCAGAAGTGTCCGGGGTTCCGTGGTGTTTGGTGGCGCCAAATTGGGATCCGCGGCTTCTTTGGCTGCTAGGTCCGCAGCTTCATTTCCAGGCACTCCGACATGTGAGGCGATCCAATGGAACTGGATGTTCCATTTTTGGCTCCGAAGCTCATCTAGAGCCTGTATGGCCTCTATGAGGATATACTGGCCGGATGGACACTTCGGGTTTAGGACAGCCTGAAGTGCCGCCTGGTTGTCGGTGAAGATCGCACACCGGCCGGGAGGGGTCCCTGCTTTGTGCACGTCGAGAGCCACTTGCAGAGCCAGAACCAGTCCACGGAGCTCCGCGGCGTATACCGTGGATACGTCAGAGGTGCCCATGTACTGCATTCGTTTCTTGCTGATGCCGTCGAACGAGAGATCAGGAGCGACCGCAGCTGCGCCAACGTGGCCATTAATGCCGCTACCGTCAGTATAGATGCGGATTGTTCCTGGTTCCATGGCGTCGTGTTCTTTGATGGCTTCTGCGGCCGTCTTCGCTATGCGGACAATTGGGGGCGCCCACCACGGCGGCACCACGTGTGGCCGTCGTTTTTCGAGTTGATTGGGTGGAATACCAAACTTATCCTCCAGTAGTGTTGAAAACCGGTCAAGAGGGCTTACCGCATCGGAAATCGGACGCCCTCTCTCCCGGTTACCCTCAATCACGGCCATGTCATCGAAAAGCGGCGTGGTTCTGATGCGCACCGTTGTCTCCACCGCTGTTTGCTCAAGCTGTTGAAGCACTGGCAGCAGGTGGGCCTCAACGTCAACTGCGCTGCCTGCTGTCGTTCGGAAAGCGCCCGTGATGATTTGCGCGGCGCGGCGTTGCACGTTTCGAAAAGCGCTAATCATAGAGCTACCCCGACTTGTGCAACCTGAGCCAGGGATGAACCATGCCGAGCAGCCATACAGCATCTGAGGTACGATCACTGCTCTGTATACTTGACGAAGATTCATCAGACCCGTGCCCCAGGATGAGGAGGCCAGGGCCGAGAGAGCAGACAGTCTCGAGGTAGCTCCGGCTTCCAGTTTTTCTCGGTGATAGTCCCACCGCAATTTAGTGTCCATGTGGACGCCTAAGTACTTGCAAGACGGGGACGCTTTCACCTTGGTATGGGGGAGACGAAGAGCA